AGACGGTGGAAGTTGGCAGAGCGTATTTTGAAACTGAACGAAAGCATTTCACAATTTTAGATGCGCCCGGTCATAAGAGTTTTGTACCTAATATGATTGGCGGAGCGGCACAGGCTGATCTCGCGGTGTTAGTTATTTCCGCGCGGAAAGGCGAATTCGAAACAGGTTTCGATAGAGGCGGTCAAACAAGAGAACATGCTATGCTGGCGAAGACTGCTGGCGTTAAACATTTGGTTGTGTTAGTAAATAAAATGGATGATCCAACTGTGGAATGGGATGAAAGAAGATACAATGAGTGCAGGTAATTCCAATAAAATGCAACCTTAAGACAATTCTTCTTAATGTTATCAACAAATTCCTTATTGTATTATTTAGGGACAAAATACTGCCATACCTTCGCAAATTGGGATTTAATCCAGCAAAGGACCTTACATTTATGCCAGTCTCAGGACAGCTTGGCTATGGTTTAAAGGACCCAATACCAGAACACCTTTGTACGTGGTACACTGGTCCACCATTCATATCCTTCATTGATTCTCTACCTTCACTTAATCGTAAGAATAATGGACCCTTTATCATGCCAATCGTTGATAAGTATAAAGACATGGGAACAGTGGTGATGGGAAAAGTCGAAGCTGGAGAAGCAAAGAAAGGACAGTCGCTACTTGTTATGCCAAATAGGGTATAAATCTTTTTTTCTTTTAATACAATATCGTTTTAACTGTTAAACTAATTATTTATTTTAATATATATTTCATTATGTTTTAGACGGCGGTGACAGTAGATCAATTGTGGTCAGATGACGAAGAAGTAACATCGGTTGGACCCGGTGAAAATGTGAAAATCAAATTGAAAGGCATTGAGGAGGAAGACGTGAGCCCCGGATTTGTCCTGTGCGACAGCAACAATCCGATAAAGACGGGAAAGGTGTTCGACGCGCAAGTTGTTATTTTAGAGCATAAGAGCATCATCTGTGCTGGCTATAGTGCAGTGATGCACATTCATTGTGCCGCGGAGGAGGTCAGAGTGAAGGCATTGATCTGTCTGGTAGACAAAAAAACGGGAGATAAAAGTAAAACCAGGCCGAGGTTTGTTAAGCAAGATCAAGTGGCAATAATGAGAATCGAATGCGCAGGTGTCATATGCCTTGAAAGATTTAAACTATTTCCACAAATGGGACGTTTCACCCTTAGGGATGAAAGTAAGTATATTCATTTTTTCTACGCGTTAAACGTTCGATAAAAGTGTTTGCACGCTTGACTTCGAACTGATTACGACTTCGCGTTTATCGAAGTTTAACTGGTTCTGTCGTGTATTTTCCAGATAAGACTATTGCTATTGGTAAGGTGCTGAAAGTGGTGGAATAAAGTTGCTCAACTGTAAACACAGATTGGGATAATAATCAACTTTGATAACGAAGAATAATGCAAGAGACGCAAGCCGAACACAGTACGCACGAGAAAAGAAAAAAACGGAACTAGCGTGATTACTCGCGAACTACTGTTAATGTAACATACACTCATCTTACACAAGAAGCAAAAAAAAAGTTTTACATCAAAGAAAAGCACATACATCGTATGCACAGACAGTTGTGGCGGGGTTTGGGGTCAGGGGGAGGGAGGGTATTTATAACCTGAAATAAAAAAAAAAGCAAATAGATTTGATTATATAGATAAGGAGACAAAACCACTAAAGAAAAAAAAAACTAACTCAAGAGCGCGTGTTCCTTCTAACTAGGTAAGCCGAACAGACAGCACTCACGTTGAGTTCATTACAAATGAATTAATGATCAAATGATGACAACAGTGTCTCCTTAAATATTGTAAAACATATTTTTATTCTTCTGAAGTGCGAGACATTAATTGAACGTAAAAAAAAAAAAGAAGAAGAGGATACCGATTACGAGAGT